TACAATTTTATTTTATTTATTTGAAGAATTCAAAACAGCCATGCCCTAAATTTATTTCAAGTTCAAAAAGCCGTTTCACAACATTTTGTATTTATGTTAACTTTGTATTATTTATTCACTTTTTTATGTTTATTTATGTTTTTACATAAATGTATTTACTTGCTTTTCATTATTAATGTTATAAATAAATGTTATGTAACAGTGTTTTTTAAGTTCAATAAATATACAAAGAAAAAGCCGTTTCACTCAGATATTTTTCACAGTAGGGAAGAAATGACTATCACAGGTTATGTTTCATGATGACTTTAATGTCATTCATTCTTAATTCATTCATCTAAACATCAGTGAGTTTATTGATTTAAATAGTTAATGAGTAGCAAATGAGTCCAAACACAAAACTTTCTTTCCATCTTAAGACTACATTTTTGGATATTTCTTTTTGGCCAACCGCACAAAGTCTTCAGCACTGTCCAAAGACACCAGGCGATCCTAGGAAATGATCATTACAATTAAAATATATCAAACCGACTGAACTGCTTGTAAAACTGGGACAACCGTGATCAATCAAAATATAATAATGTAGATAGTTCATCATGGTGAATCCATGTAATGTACACATGCTTGAGGCTAAAGATTAGGACTGTAATTTATTATGCAGACATAAATTTACCATGACGAAGACGTATCTTTCGTTGTTGCTGAGCCCACAGGGGAAGAGGCTTGTCTCCTTTGACACTATATGAAGCAGTTCTCTGGCCTTCTCCACATTGTCCCAGTCACTCTGAACGGTTTGTCTGTTCACTGTCAGTAAGGAGTCCACCTCTTTCTGGTAACCTGGATCAACAACATACAGATACATTTACATGAATGCACGTCTTCAGACACTAAGGCATGCTTACACTCCACACAGCCATTACAAGGGCAAATTAGGGTCACGTTTGACTTGGTATTCTATTGTTATTATTGTGTATTGTACATTTAAGGTTAAATAATTAACTAAGCACAAAATGGACATTATTCTCACTGTGACAAGAGATGGAAAAGTAGGCAAGATAATTTCATACGACAGAGAAATGTGAAAATAAAGAATAAATATAATATAATTAAAACATATATATAGAGAGGTCAGTAAGTCTGAATCTTTTATGCTCGCCCAGGCTGCATTTATATGATCATTACAATTTCAAATATATATTTTCCTTTTGAATATATTTCTAAAATGTAATTTATTCCTATAATGCAAAGCTGAATTTCCAGCATCATACTCCAGTCTTCAGTATCATATGATCCTTCAGAAATCATTCTAATATGCTGATTTGGTACTCAAGAAACATTTATTATTATTATTAAAACCAAAATGTGAATTTGTATATATATCTAGTTTGTATCTTTTAGAGTCTGGAATAGAGGATTGTATAATCCTGTACCAGAAATCCTTTCAATAAATTTCAATTAACTATTATTATCAATGTTGAAAACAGATGCTGCTTTTTTCAGGGTTCTTTGCAGAAAGTATTTTTTTTTTTTTTTTAAAGCATTTATTTAAATATAAACATTCCAAATACATATTTGTCACTTTAAAACAATTTGGTGTGTGCCTTCCTGAAAAAAAAAAAAAAAAAAAAAAAAAATCAATTTCTTTACAAAATATCTTACTGACCTCAGACTCTTGAACATAATGTATATAAATGAAACATATGAAGATAATATATACATTTTAGTACAATTAAAGAAAAAAACTGAATATAAAATATAAATATATAGTCCACATCACCCAGCTGAAGCAAGATCTTCTTCCAACGTGTCCCAACTTCTTTACGAGCACACCTCAGACTGTGGATATCATAGTTCAGCTTCTCCCATTCCTAACACAAACACAGACACGCATACACACATGCAAACACACACACTGTATCTTCTACACAAAACATCAAAAATGACTGTTATTACTATCATTGTGGGCACATTTGGTCCCCATAGCATATGGTTTACCAGGGACCACACACACATAAATATATTTTTATAGCACTATTCATATCTAGTCTATGAATGAATGAATCTGTGCCCATGCAACTGAAATTCACAAAAATAAGAAGAGCAAGACCAAGAGAATGCTGCGAAGAGCTTTGTGGACGGAGACGTAGTTTCCGTGGAACATGAACATCACTATTGAGTTACTGTCAATTGACTCTAACAAGTCCCTAAGAGCATTATAAACCATGTGCTCTTCCAACTGCCCAAAGACTGATAAATATGAAAAAAAAGCTTACTGATCCTATATGAAGTGGAGATTACCTTCAGAAATGATAAATATATATCCATGTACATCATTATTTTTAAATTAATGTGTCCTTACAGTCTTTAATCAAAATAACTTCCTCCTTTCTGCTGTGCCTGTGACATTTCTTCTCTTCTCTGATGGCGCGAGGGCGGGATCAACCTGTCACTCACATCACATCAAAGCAATAGGAAACCACAACCATCCAACCAATTGCGTTGTGTCTGAAGTGAACTCTTCATCACTTGTCTTTCTGGCACAGTTGAGTGAACTGAATTCAATTTGAGAAAATTGGCAAATTACATCGCCCTAAATTCCAACATATTTACTTGTAGCCAAACTATAATGCAAAAAACTAAAAATCGCATCTTCTATAAAACACAAAGTAGTACTTGATTTTGAATGGGTTCATGCATAAATATATAAGATAATCTTAAAATGTGTGAGCTGATGTTTAAATGCATGCATTTAAATGTGGTATGAATGATATGTAGAGAGGGATCCTGTCTGAATAAGAGGCAGCTGTGTGCTCATTGATCATTTATACTAAAAAAATGCGACCTAAATTACACACAAACTTCCCTAGATTATCGTCACACTTGACATTTCCCAGAATTAAGCTTCAAGAATTGTGTAAGCTGTCATTCATTTGCCCATATTTAAGTGTGACAAACAATTAACTTACATATAAATGCAGTAAAATATATTCACTTGCTTAGTTCTGTTTTTGAGATATTACTGTATCTCAAAGTGCATGTGTATTTGTTCCTTACCTCAGTATCTTTTTCCGCTTTGTTTCTCATCTTGATGAAAGTGTTTAATTCAGCATCTGATTCCCCCTCAGTAATGGAGATGGAGGTTTGAGTGCTGCTCCAGGTCCTCCTCTCCTCCTCTGATCCAGATCTGCTGTCCTGCAGCTCATGACCCACTGCGGTCTCCCTGTCCCTGGACATACTGGTCCTGCATTAAAACACTTTATTAAACAACACTGCACAAACACATCTGGATAAAGTTCTGTTAAAAATCATATTAATAAACTTGTCATTTCTACAAATATATAACTATTTATAATTATTATAATATATATACCAATAATTATTGTTTTATTATTAAAATTAAATACAATTAAAATATACAACAATGATAATACTAATATACTTCCTTTTTAAATACTCATAACATATATATATATATATATATATATATATTTTTTTTTTTTTTTTTTTTTGATAAATATTTTATATGTAAAATATATATGTAAATATGTAGCCAACTATATAAAAGGAAAAATGTCTAGGTTATAGCTGTAACCTCTGTTCTCTGAGAACAGGGAACGAGACAATGCATCGATGACGCTATTGGGGAGTGCCCTGCATGTGATCAGGGGTGTGTTAAATGGCATTCCCCAATAGTGTCATCGACGCAGTGCAAGTTCCCTTTCGAAAGGGAACACCTATATAATAACACATTTTGTAGTTGTAATTTTTACAAATATATAACAATAATTATTCTTAAATAAAATAATAAAAAAACTTACTCACTGCTTATAGTATTCATTTCTTTTTATAATTGATAATAAATGAATTGATACTAAATTATGTACTCTATACCAGAAAAAAAACACATATATAATAATACATTTACTGTATATTTGTATTTTTTACACACATAACGATATTCATTTGTATATTAATAACATTATGTATTATTATATTATTAAATATAATTAAAATATTCAACCATAGTAATAATTTATGTTTTATATTAAAAAAAAATCACTCCCCGTTTGTGGAATTAATTTCTATTATTTTTTCATAACAAATTATTATTTAATTATGTAGACTATATACTACAAAACAGAAAAAAACTAAATTTGGTCACTTACCTTAAAATGCAATCTTTCTCCTCAGTAGCTTCATGAATAGGACAGCAGCCAGAATAAAAGGCGCCCATTTAGAGCAACAAAAAAAATGTCCTCTCTAAAATGAGCTAAAATTCAGTGCATCATCATACTCATGGTCATTGTTATAGTAGAGCCGACATCCTCCATGCACTAGGACAGAAATTTGTGCAGATGAAGTTATTTCTCACAGACGATGTCCTTAACTTGATAATGGGCCACTCTGGCCATGTGACTGCACAGTTTAAATGCCCTTGGGACTAACTACAGGCAAAGTAGTCAGGTCTAGCATAGATCCGCAAACATCTGTGTCTTATTTAAAATGTATACATTTATGTCTATATATACTGTATATATATATATATATATATGAAGAGTTCAGATGCAAAAGCCTCTAAATGCCATTTGAAATTTTCTTCTTTAATGATGATTTTTATCAAACTTGTATATTTAAGTTCAGTAATTTCACTTTAATAACAATAATTTTCATTGTCATTTAAGTGAAATTACTGAACTTAAATATACAAGTTTGATAAAAATCATCATTAAAGAAGAAAATTTCAAATGGCATTTAGAGGCTTTTTATATATATATATAGACAGTAGACAAATATATCTTATTATATATACATTCAGTATATGTTTAAAAGAAATACTGTACTTCATGTGAGCCACATCTGTGGACTTTCTTTCTAACCAAATTGCTTCACAATTCAATGGACTCATATTGCGCAACAACAGTCAGCATTAATTTAATAGAAACAGTTGTTGGTGGTGGGAAAGTCTTTCCCAGTTGTTGGGGGTAGGATAAACTACACCAGGATTGTCATTTTGAATACAGTTTAATACGAATCAGTCTTATGCATGTCATACAGTGATATTGATTGTTAAGTTAAAAATGCGTTATGGCTCATTACTGCTCTGGCTCCAGGTTTGAGACTTTGGCCTGGGTAGACATGTACGGGCTTGGGCTGGTCACTAGGGGGCGCAACAGCTCCTTTCCCTTATTAGATTCAGCACTGGACTGTCTGTTGGAGCCAAGGCTGTTTTTCCTACAGTACATATGCATAAAATGAAAAAGTAAAGTCTTGGCTAATATCTCTTAGGCTATTCAAACAAGAGTCAATGCCTCTTGATGCATTTCTTGCATCGTTTTTGTAAGATTTTAAAAAATACTTTTTATCTGATCCAGATAAAGTGAGATTAAAAATAAAATGTAGATGCCAGTAACCTGGAAGAGGAAGGCGGAAGAGCGATGATTCGCGGTCGTGTCGTCAGCACCAGTTCACCCAAGAAAGCCTCCATCATTAAGTTCTGCAAGGTGTTGAGCAAAATGCCTTCCAGCAGATCACAGAACTCAGGAAACCTGCAGAAAAGAAAGCGAAAACTCACTAGGACTCACTAATGGGCATTCACTCAGCACACTTCCAAGGTGTTCTTATTTGTTCTTTCAAGAACTGTCATTTTTTATTTAAGAACTTAAACCCACTGTCTTGGGAAATCTGGTAAATTACAGTACAGTTTTTTTTTTTTTTTTTTTTAAAAGTGTGATTTCCAGACATGGAATAGTCATGGAAATTACATTTTTGTTGTCTTGCTCTGAACATTTTTTATTTGGCAGTTCCGTCATTATCAGCATAATTCAACGAGTCTGTGAACCACTGCAGACTCCCATCACCATTTGGAATTGCAAAACTAATGTTGACTGCTTTAAAACAGCACACCTGCGAATGGACTCCTGGACCTTCAGCTTTGTCTCCTCAAGTAGTTCTTTCAAAGACTTCTGGTCACACTCACTCCTGGGTCGTTCTGCAGTGCTACAGTTTCTGGTGTAAGTCTTTGCTGGAGTAGCAATGGACACACCAGACATTTCTACAGGATCCTGGAAGCCTGCAGGTAGAGTTTGCAACAGAGCAGGGAGGGCAGGAGCAGGAGCAGGTCGCAGCTGTGTGAAGTACAGCACCTGCTCAGTGTCGCCCTCTACCAGAGACTGCTGGAACTGAGGCTCATCTAAAAGACTCCTGTAGAACAAAGTAAGCAGTGTGACCTGTGACTAGGAATGACAATTATTCCATTTAAAACAACAGAGGACATGCAGAATGTGCATTAACTTAAAAAAAAAAAAACTAAAAAAAAAAAACGGGATCAGATTACTGTAGTAAAGAATTGAGCACGTGTGTGATGATGTCATCAGTGAGTGGGGGCAGGTTTGCAGGAAGATGGCAGCCCTCGCCTGTGCCAGACTGAGAATGCTTGGGCTGCGTAGATCTGAAAGAAATATAACAATAGACATCAGACTTTGTTTACTTTTAATCCTCAAAGTAATTCCTCCAGGTTTCAATGCTGACTTTTGCACACTATTGTACCTGTTGATGTAATGAGTGTTGAACTGACTGGGGAAGTGTGTCTGGTACTCCATGAGGGTGTGAGAGCGAGCAGTAACACCCAAGTGGAGCAGTGTAGGACAGGGAGGCTCGGGGCGTCTCCTCCTTTCCTGGCCTGTCTGCTGCGGGACCCGCTGTTCAGCCCGACTGGGTCTCGCTGAGGGACCGCCCACAGCGTGATCACTGCTACGAATGGGCGGAAGGGTCTGCCACATGGGGAACAAATTATTAGTCTCTCATTTAGAAACAAAATGTATCATGTAATTGGGTGAATAATAACTTAACTGTCTTGTCTTTGTGGTTTACCTTATATTTTCTTTTGCCAGTTTTCTGTTTAGGCACTGCACCTTCCTGAGGAGGATAATTCGTTTTTTAACATGTTTTGATATGGTGAATGGGATGTGAAAGGCAACTTGTCAGGGTTAAAGATGTGTGATTTATGACCTGAGTGCATGTATCCAGTTGCTTTGTCTGTAGCAGGTCTTTCTCAGTGAGAGTAAACTCATATTTCTGTCTCTCAGTCTCCTCCTCCCACTGTCGCAGGTCTTTATGATACTGTGCTAGCATATTCACAAGTGTTATCTGTCAAAGAGAGCCACAAACATTTAGATGTGTTTCCAGTGGCCAAAATAATGTATGTGTATATTATATGAAGTCTCAAATTCAAACAAGTGGCCTTGACTCAACATTGAAAGTGTAGTCATGATTGTGTTAGGTGTCAGTAAGATTTTTTTATATAATTTTATTCAGCAAGGATGCATTAAACTAATCAAAAGTGTAATTAAAGACTACATTGTTACAAAATATTTATATTACAAAATAAATACTGTTCTTTTAAACATTCTATTCATCAAAGAATACTGATTTACCGCAAAAATATTAAGCATCACAATTGTTTTCAACAATGACATTAATAACTACCAAATAATACTTATTAATAATACCAAATCATCATATTAGAATGATTTCTGAAGGATCATGTGACACTGAAGATTGGGGTAATGATAATGGAAATTTAGCTTTGTCATCAAGGAATAAATTACATTTCAAAATGTATTACAATACAAAATGGTTAGTTTAAATTGCAAAAATTATTTCACAATATCACTGTTTTTCTACTGTATTTATGGTTAAATAAATGCAGCCTTGGTAAACATAAAATACTTAAACATTTTTTTTTTTTTTTTTAAATCATACTGACCCCAAACTTTTGAACGGAACCTTATCAAATAACCATACTCTATGTGTCTATATGTGAATGTGTTCACTGGTGTATTTTTGTATTTGTCACCTCACAGAGGAGGTCTTGTTGGTAGAAAGCGGGGCTGCCTGAGGCCTGTATTGTCAAGATGCAGAGAACACTTTCCCCTGGTGCAAGACGACCACTCATAGGACAGATCGTTACAGTCTTTGGTCAACATTACAAACAAACACATGCAATCAATAGTCAATATATACTGAGTAGACTGGCCATGTTATCTTATCAATACAATGTTTTTTGCGCAAACTCTTTTGCACGCAATTACAATTTATAGTTCCATGGTGACAGTTAACTTCTGTCTAGCTCCAAAAAACAACAGGGAAGAACCATAAAAGTGTCTTTTAAGACTTTTGCACAAACAAACAGTAAATGGGTTTGGAATATCATCAGAATTTTCATTTTTGCATGATCTAATACCTAAAATCTACATACCTGCTGGCATTCTGTGCTTGTTACGTTCCACTTATACAACACTTGGTCTGTGTATGAGACATTGGTCAAAAAAAGAATGCGTGTACTTCGAGAGCACACTGGGATATCACCAAAACACACTCTATCTTCAGACAGGAACACCACCTATACAACACACACAGAGAGAGTGGAAGAGAGAGAGAGATTTAATTTATTGCTTAATTTATTTGTGGAACACTTCTTATATATGGTTTGTATCATCAAGCACTCTTACTTGTCCAGGTACTGGGATTCTTTGAGTGCAAGGCACAGTAATGCATCCATCCTGTACTTGAATGGGTTCTGACTCTCTTTCGTCAAAGCCTTGGCCCTCAAATGTTACAAACATGCTGTCCCCCTCCACCACATGAATTGGAATGTCCACCTGTAAAACATGGAGTTGTGTAACTTAGTACAAAACACTTAATGTTTTGCATACTAAAAGTTACCAAGTTTACTTTTCAGATAAAAACTATTGTTACAACATGGACTGTTTTTACAACTTCCATTTTATGGCAACTTTAAGAGGATGCTATTGTGGAGTAACTAACACTGTATGTTTTAGCCTCGAGTGGGGAGAAGATCCACTCCACAAGTGCGGTGTGGCCTGGCTCGATCTCTCCGCCAGGGTTTATACACTGTAAGATCGGGTGATTAAAGTTCTCCTCCATCAGCTCCTCCAGTGGAGTGGTGTCGAAGTGGTACCTCAGTGGGAGAGTTCCTGCATTATACAGTTCATACACCTGTGCAGAATAAACATTTAGCATATTTGTGACTATTAAATATAAACAGATGGTATCTAGCAGATGACTGCAAGAATCTGCCAATAATTAAACAATGAATACAATCAAATTTTGTTTTTTATATACTTTATCCACAAAGGTTTTCAACCTTTTTGGCTTCAAGCCTCTTTTTAACCAATATTACGTTGTCTTTTCCAGTTGTTTGTGATTTACTGGACTTTTTTTGTTATAATTTCTTGATTTTTAGTTGTTTAGCTCACTATAATACCTGTTTTTTCTTATTTTAAATAATTCTAAGTAATCTTGATGCCCTATTAGCTGGTTAGTATGACCCGGATAGCCCCTGCTGTTAGATACTTCAATAAATACCAAATATATATTCTGAGGAAATATAATTTTTGGAAAGCAATATATGATTCAATAATAATTAAAAAAATCTATATATATTATAGTATAGTTAATGTTTTGTCAGTGGCCTGTTTTGGATGGCTCTAATATAATATAATATAATATAATATAATATAATATAATATAATATAATATAATATAATATAATATAATATAATATAATATAATAATATAATATAATATAATATAATATAATATAATATAATATAATATAATATACTTATATGCAAGATTCCATTATAATAAGAAAAAAAATTATTATATAGACTTTCTTGTGTAGCTATATAAAAAAAAAGAGCTTTCTGGAAAAAAAAGTAAATTCAGGTAACCTAACCTGTTTAGGGGGGCTGAAACCACCAATTGCCATCGGGGCAAAGATGTGCCGATTGGAGGAAAGGTGAATGTAGCGTCTATCTCTTTCCACAGTTATTCCTGTAAAATTCAGCTAAACAATTCGAGAATTATCATCATACAATGTTAGTTAAAAAATTATGCATGTTGTAATGAAAAGAATCATTTGTCTCACCAGTATCTCTCTTCCACATGAAATTTTCAACAAGACAGGAAGACGATCTGTCCCCACAAATTCGTGTCTGTGAGAGATGCATATGCCTTATAGTTCTCTGTGCATCATAAAACAACACTTCAGTGCAGAATCATAACAGTGCTTTTATTTCCTGACCTGTATGTGAATTGCACTGTCTTCTGTTGGCCAGGTTGGAGTTTACCAGAACGTGGGGAGATGGAGAAAAGCCTGTGCTCCTGAATCTTCATCAGGTGGAGCTCAGATGGACTGAAATCTCCAGTCTCAGCCCAGTACTCCAACTCAATCTGTTGGTCCTCTGGGAACAAGAATGACCTAAAGGGAGACCATTTTGATTATGTCTTTATATTGTCGGTGTGACTTTATTTGCTAATGTAAACTAATGGCGGACCAAGTTATGGATGCTCACCACTCAACAGGAATGCTGCCTGGGTTTTTAAACAGAAGCAGAATACTGGTGGGGTCTGAGCCCAGGGGAGCAGCCCTGAAGCTAAAATCCATCATGGCTGATGTAAAGATAGAGGGACGCTGTCGAAAACTGCAAAAGGATTTAATAGATTCAAAGGAAAGTTTTACAACTGTTTTAATTGAAGCAAAAAACAAAAAAACAATACTCTGTTTAAAGTATTGCCTGTGTCTAGTGGGCACCCTGAAGGTGAGCTCAGATGGGCTGGGATCTCTGCGTAGATAAGTGTTGAGTGTATCCAGATTGAAGAGGCGCCAGAGCTGAATTTTACTCAGCCCCTCCACATTGCCACAGCTACGGACATCCATCACCTCCATGGTGGGATACACTCCCTCAGCCTGTACATGGCATATAGATTGGGGCTCTCCTTCCACAGCACCTGGCCCCCAGAAAAACAAATTTTACATTGTGATAAAATGTAATATTCTCTCAAACGTGCAAAATGGAATATTTGAAAATACCAGCTTGGTCCAGTTTGGTTAATGCTGGTTATTGGTGGCCAAAACTGGGCTAACTTTTGGAAGGCTGTAGTATGCAAGGTTCAATATTGTCTAATACACACACAGGAATCGCAGTTTGAAACGATTCTTTTTTTTAGTACGCTACCAGAGGCATTGAGGATATGGTAACTGATTGTCCAGCAGTAATGGGCTCTGCGAGCCGGTCTCACTGAGCAGCGGATCGGTAGCCTGCAGTCAGCAGGTATGGTTCCCTTTACATTCTCCATCTCCAGAACTGAAAAATTAAAGCTTAATTGATTTGACAGAGCGAACATTAATTATATGTACAACATAAAACGTCTACACCACCATTCAAAAGTTTGGGGTCTTTTGAAAGAAGTCTCTCACCAAGGCTGCATTTATTTGATCAATAATACAGTAAAACCAGTAATATTGTGTGATATTATTATAATTTAAATATAACTGTTTTCTATTCTATTTTAAAATGTAATTTGTCTCTGTGATGGCAAAGCTGAATTTTCAGCAGCCATTATTTCAGTCTTTAGTATCACATGATCCTACATAAATCTTTCTAATTTGTTGAAAACAATTCCATAATATTTTTGCTGCTTAACATCTTTGATGAATAGAAAATTCAAAAGAACAGCATTTATTTAAATAGATTGTAAGTCTTTACTGTCACTAATTCAATTTAACATCCTTGATGAAAATAAGTATAAATTTCATAATTTAAAAAAAAAAATCATTTGTATATAGCCAAATATACTCTAGTGAGACGCAGAGTGCTTGAAATGCCAGTAAACATATTTTTAGGATAAGAATAGTGAGTTACTGAGTCCTACCCAAAGGATCTTGAGTCATGTCTTCAAGAAGGCCTGTATCAGTGACACTTTGCTGTGTGGTCAGAGAGTAACTGACAGCACAAGGGCTGTCGTTCAGTAGAGGAACTTCAAATGACTTACAGCTTTCCACCAGCACCTCACCCAGATCTATAACTGGGTGCTCTGCCTGGGGGAAAAAAATCATTTTACAAAGTTACAAACAGTTATGACAATCATTTTCTTATAGAATATCCAACCCATTCAAACCTAAGGTCACTAATCAAATGTAAGAAAATCTTTGTCATTGATAATGTATCTGTTAGACAGATGGTCAGATGTTCTTATTTCCATTCAAGCATAAGATGCTCTTTAGATCATTAGGTCATCATTTTTAGATTATCTCATGATAGAAAATGTGCATTTTCATCTGGAAGATGTCTTTTTAGGCCGTTTGTAAGTAAAACTTCTGTTTGTTAAATGTTTGTACAAAACAGATGTCTTCCAGATGAACTGACGCCTTAAGCCCGGTACACACCAAGCTGATGATCGCCGTCGGGTCATTTTTCGTGTCATAACATCATCTTTCATCAGCGTTAGTTCTTTGGCGTCGTTTTGGTGTGTCCCTACCTTTAGAGATGTATGATGATGATCTTCAGCTTTGAGGGAATGTAATCTAATGTAACACACCTGGAGAGAGCCTTTGGATGCCAATCCTACAGCTTCAATGGTAAGACGGGACTTCTTGCATTGTGGTGTTTGGACAGGCCAGAACGTGAGACTAGGCTTCATGTTGTACATCATCTCCTCCTTTGGAGCAAAGGACCACTTCTGTACCTGAAAACAAACAAATGCTTTCAATCAATAATGTCGAAACTACTATACCCCAAAACGCCACACTTATGCTGCAGCCTTACCTTGGATTCATTGGGCTGGAGAATGTCTGTGTTTGGCAGTACAGTGAGAACCCTTCGGTCAGATCCACAAAGCCTCCACTTGAACTCCACCGGCACCCTGCTCAGATTCTTCACCCGCAGTGTTCGCTCAGAGCAGGAGCCCACTGCTGTGGGCTGAAAGAACAGACTGCCACCCTCCTCCACGCTCATGGAAAGCTTCTCTGCTACAGCAACCACATTCAGTACCTACAAAAGATTCATTTATAGGCTAAAACGAACCATGAAAACGCCATTTGGCAAATGACACCACAGAATAATTATGTGAAGATTTAGCGAAGTTTTCATGATTCTAGATTATTCTAGTCGACTGAATATTCTCCTCTGTCGTTCATCACTCATCCAGTTGGCTTTAACCACTCACTCCGGCAACTCAACACATTATGTTATTTTTCGTAAACATTAGTGTTAACCTGTGCGTGATTGGGGGTGGCATTCAGCTGTAATGTCAAAGGGATGCTGGAAGAGTGATCCGGAGATGGAGTGCATCTGAATGTGAGGATCTGGTGACTTCCAGGTGGCACCAGACCACTGGATGGCAGCACACATACTGATGGACACTCCTCTGGGTCCAGTCTGAAGATCACTGGCAGGTCTCCTGTATTCTTCAGGAGAATACTGCGGTATGCTAACTGATTCAGGCCGGGGAATACCTGCAGGGAGATGGATGGTGTTAAAACTTTATAAGTATATTTACATACAGTCTCTTTCCATATGGTCTCTCACTAACTATTGGTTGTGTCCAAAAGCTTAGGCAGCTGACTTGTTGCCTCACTGCCCTATCTGGCAATGACTTTGCAAGCAGCCTTTGTGCAAGCAGGCTTCTGAGGCAGCGTAACGATTTAATAATTTACAAAGAAATAGAGAGAGCTTAGATGACAGCTAAGCCAATATTTAACAACTACAATAGTAACATCAAATATAAACACAAAATGATCCATTTACGCACAATCTGAATACCAACTGCAACTTTCAGATGCCATTTTTTTAAGCACAACTTTGTCGGAATTGAAAGCACAGAATTGTGGGACTTCATAGGCAGCAAATGATACATCTGTGCTGCCTTCTGAAATCAATCAGATGAGGAAATGTCAGTAAACAGGATATGGTATGAGCATTGGATTCAGATGTGCTTCCTACATTAGTATGCTGCCTGTTTTTCAGATTTTGGACACAGCCATTATTTTGAAAGATGTCACCACAGTCAGACTTACTACTTGAGGGTGTTGAAGAGAGATGTTGGGGGTGAAGTGCTCTTTTCCAGGCTGAAACGAGTGACCGCTCACCCTGACTGTAAGGCACCAGGGTGGACACAAATTCTGATCCTCCACATTTCTCTGATCCCTCAGAACCTGGGGATGACAAAAGCAAAATTCAAGTCAATTAAACCTTCATGCACAGAACTCGTGTTCACATTATGTCCCATTTAAATTGAATGGGATTTAATTGCCCGAGGTCACCAAATCTATATACTAACTTGTTGAAAAATCCATTATACGGTATTTTTGCATGATGTGACCAGCATGGGATGCTGGTTTGCGGGTCCCATGCATGGGAAGCAAAAGTGCTGGTGGACCAGCTACACCATGAATCAGATTGACTGAAACTCCTATGCACAATTTTTAAATTCTATCATTGTATGTTGTGGACCGAGACCATTTATATAGAACCATGACATTTCTCATTGTCTACATTGTCTATTGGTAGGCAGGGCCACATCTTAACTGCATATAATTCACATAATTAAACATCTCTGAACTTGGTCAAGTTTCAAGACATTTTGTCATTCTGCTAGTTGAAAACTAATGACTTTAGGTCCCTCTTTAACTGTGGATCACTATCGGTGTGAACAACTCTTTAGTCTCACATTACCTTGTAAAAAGTGAAACACTCAAGCTGTGCTGCATGGAAGATGTTCTGCTGGTTGGGACTGTATGTCACTCTGAAGGCTGTGGTCTTTAGAGGGCCCAGCTCACAGGAGAGAGGAGAGATGGAGAAAGGAGACTCTGCTTCACTGGACCACATCAGACAGATCTTGCCCTTGGTGTGGTTGGTGATAGAAACTGACTTTGATGCTGGGCCGTCATAAAAAAGGAGTTCAGGGGGCTGAACTGTAACATGGGGGACGGGGAATCGGGTGGAGTTTGAGGTGTTGTAAAGTTCTGTTTCCGCTTCAGGTGCGGAATTTACATGGAAATACTCCTCCAGAGGACTTCGAGGGTTGAAGGGAGGTGTGGAGTTGCAAGTGTCCTCTGCTGGAATCTAATAAAAGTTAGATGCAAGGTTATGTGATGTAAACATCCATGTTTAATTTTACAGGAGAACTTTTTTTGTAGCTGCGGTACACCCTATTTTTGTGAATTGAGTATGATTTTGAGAATGAGGATAGGATTCTGGCCTAAGAATTTAAAAGAATTGAAAGGAAATCTGACTCAACTCTTAGATGTCAGAGCATTCATATGTTACACCACAGTGAAGATGGACAAACACACACCTCCTGCATTTGCAATGCTCCACTATCATCCCGTTTTAATCGTTGTTTTTCCAGCAAGGAACTCAGTAAGTCAGGAGGGTAACAGGTGAGCCCTCGTAGCAGATTTAATCTGTAGACACTCAGGTGTCTGGGCTTTAAAATGGCTGGCTTCAATTGCTCTGAGTGACAGGTGCCAATCAAATCCAAAAACAGTGGCTCCTTTAATAAGAAAAGCAAAACTACACAGTCAATTAAATGAAAACAAGTTAAGAAAAGAGTAGAAATCCAACCAAGAAGCCGAAAAACAGACTGACAGACAGACATAGATAGATAGATAGATAGATAGATAGATAGATAGACAGACAGACAGACAGATACATAGATAGACAGATACATAGATAGATACATACATAGATAGATACATAGATAGATAGACCTACCCTGTGCAGCAGCAAACAAATCATTGTCTTGTGATAAGCTATATGGTTTTGTGGTCTGAACTTCACATGCAGGGTGAGTTTGCTGCTGCCTGGCAGAGACCCACAAGGCTTATCAAGACTGAACACACTATGACTGCCAGTGTCCACATCAAACTGGTAATGAGCCAATACTGCAGAGGAGTTGATGATCTGAATATTGTGTGTGACCTCTGTGCCCTCCTCAATACAGCCAAAGTCTAGTACAGAGGTACTTAGAGACACTATTGGACCTATAGTGGACAGAAGAAGACGCTCAAACCACGTTGGATATGTTTATTAGCAGATGTTTGGTTATGCATTGTACGGTACCTATGCTGGTGCCTGACACTTTGAGCAGGTCTTCGCTTACAGCTCCAGGACAGGTAAGGCAAAGGTAGTCCACACTTATGAGATCCTCTGTGAGTGGGGAGAAGCAGACAGGGACTTTCAACACTGAATGTGGGGCGATCTTCCCTTCATGCACCTCACAGCTGAACACAGACTCCATGAGAGGGGGTCGTCTCAGCCAGGACAGGCTGAACTTTGCGCTGACCTAATGGAGAAAGAGAGTGAGTAATGTCTAAACATTCAATGAGCAAAGAAAGCAGGGTGGAGGGAAACATACAGTGGAGAGGTTGTAGATCTCAAAGTGTTTTTCATGAGTGTCTCCTACTGCCACACTGCCAAACTCAAGCACCTTACATCCTTCCTCCTGTCCCATGGAGCTGATTTGGAGGCGGGGGTACTTGGCTGTGGAAAGGAAGTTAAATGTGATGTGAGATTTTTGATATTAAAATACTTATTTCCAATTTAACAAGCAGCGACAAGAATGCAACACTATGGCTCTTCAGTGTACAGAGACATTCCTAACATTCCTCCTGACTCAACCAATGCATTGAATTTGGAGCAGGATTATTTGTCTAACCAATGAATAGTAATAACAGTGACACCCACATTTTAGAGGCCTTGGATTAAACTATTTTTTGTTTACAGTTTTTTTTCAACAGTTAATATTTCTGCGCCATGAACTAAACCAACGTCTGATATGAATCATAGCTTTGTAAACATTTTTTGTTTACTGTATACTTTAAGAGGCAATAAACTATAATCCCACAAAGCACTTGAAATGACATAATTGGATAAAAAATCATTGGTAAAACTTTTGATTATAGTAAATGGTTACAAGTATTAAAAACAATATATTTTAAATGTTTGCAAAAATATTACTATATACTGTATATTAATTTTGGGAGTGTAGGGAAACTAACTCAGTAAGTCATTCACAATCCCTTATGGGAGTACACTCTTTTGTCCTGTTTTGATTGCTGTGGGCTTATGGGTAGGGTCATTAATCTGGAATTTGGCTTTTAAAAACTAGATTTTTAAAATCTAGACATAGACATAGATTAACAACTTCTGAACTCATGGTATAGGTCTGCCTTTAAAGGATTATAAAGAATTCTTAAATATTTATTTCTCGACTATAGAAAATAAATGATTTTACAACTGAGCAATGTTAGAAGACCACAATATACCCTAAGTTGGCAGGTTTGGTTTGATTAAGACCAATTCTGGTGTGATTGCTAGCACTGTAAAAACAAAAAGTTGCTGACAGAGTGAACGTTAAGCAAACCAAGATTGAATCATTGTATCAATGTATCTTTTTTTTTTTTTTTTGTTGGTCCGGACCAAAAGAACTGAGAGAACAGATCTACAAGTGTAAAAACCCTAAATATGCTTTTTGAAATTCTTAAAATGTTGCACAACTAAATGACATTTAACCAACAAAAGCTTAGTGTACTCACACAGCCCACGCAGTAGTACAGTACAGCTGCTCTCCCCATCGTCTCCGAAAGCACAGCAGGCCTCGGCCTGGCACACTGCAGCCTGCTGGGGCTTGAATTCTACGGTAACCCTGCATTCTTCTCCAGGCTTTAACTGTCCAGTCTCAGGGGACAGCTGGAACGGAGGATCCACATACCACCTGAATCTTGTCTGCAGCTTACTAGTGGGAAAATGTGCATTCGAATGTTTTAAAATTCTGCATTTTTTTCACACTTTCTCCATAACTCAGCTGCCTTTGTGACAACCTAGTTTCCCGCAAAATAATACCCAAAGTACAATACTGTGAGACACAGAGTAAACATTATTTAGGAGGCAACTCTTTAACCACGCAAACACATCTTTACCTGGAATTACGAAACAGGAAGCTGGTTTGGGAGCTGTGGCGGGCAGCACAGGGTGGCAGGATCACCGTGTCTGGAACCTTCAGGTCATGATGAGGAATCACAGCTCGCAGAGACACCTGGAACGTGCCTTCCTTACCCTGAAACTCTATAGTGTCCACATACTCACACTGGAAAGAGCAGGGCAAGAAAGAAGTATATACACAAATCCAAAATATATTTTTAAATAATCAATTGATGTGCATATTAAGGTCAATACATGACTGGTCGTCTAGTCATGCAAATAAGATCTGCCTTTACTTGCTGTGAATATTGATTATACAATTAATTGTAGTCACAGGATTAATGTATATAACAAATTTAAAATGATCTAACAGGTAAGAAAAAAAATTAAACTTTACTTTCTCAAGAGGTTGAAAAGTAACTGGGAGTGAGAAAGATGTTCCTGGGCTCAGAAGGATGGTCTGAGAATAGGGTGTGTTGAAGAACTTGGACTCAGGAGGTCTGAAATTGACAAAATAAAACAAATCCACCAGTATAATCCTGACCAATTTGGGGTCAGAAATATTTTTGTAAATATTAAGTTAAATGTAATATGTTTATTTAGCAAGGATGCATTAAATTGGTCAAAAGTGACAAGTATAATGTAATATTTATAATATAAATTCCTGTTTCTAATAAAAGCTGCTGATTTAACTTACTATTCATCAAAGAGTCCTGTACAAAAATGTAATATAGTTCCCAAAACAATATTAAGCAGCACAACTGTTTTCAACATTGATGATAATAATAAGAAATGTTTCTTGAGAATTAAATTCTCATATTAGAATGATTTCTGAAGGATCATGTGACACTGAAAACTGGAGTAATGATGCTGAAAATTCAGCTTTGCATCACATGAATAAATTGTACTTTATAATACAGTAAAAAGTTTAAAATTACTATTTTTATTGTTTTTGAAAAAAGTATCTTACACTCTTCAAGACTACATGCATTTGATCAAAAATACAGAAAAAAACTGTTATATTGTAGAATATTATTACAATTTTAAATATTTTCTATTGCTTTAAAATATAATGTATTTATGTGATGGAAAGCTAAATTTTCATCAGCCATTACTTCATTGTCACATGATCCATCAGAAATAATTCTAATATGCTGATTTATTAATAATGGATTCTAAGATGAATTAAAAGTAAAAAAAAAAAAAAAAAAAAAATACAGCATTTACTTAAAATAGAAATCTTGGGTAAAAATATACACTGCCGTTCAAAGGTGCCGTTTCTTTTTATTTTATTTTATTAAATTCTGTTAAATTAATACTTTTATTCACAAGGATGTTGATAGTAAAGAATTACAAGATTTCTAATTTGGAATATTGATCTTTTTAACATTTTATTCATCAATGAATCCTGAAAAAAAGTATCGCAGGTATCTGTGTTTTCAACATTGATAATAACTGAGTATAAAATCAGCATATCAGAATGATTTCTGAAGAATAGATCATGTGACACTGAAGACTGGAGTATCCAAACGTTTGACCGGTACTGTATATTCAAATAGAAAAGAGTTATTTTAAAATGAAATAAAATTTTACAATATTAAATGCAAGCTTTAAAATAAAAAGTAAAAATACCCGAAACTAATTAAGGTAGCGTACTTGTAAGTACACTTAGCCTTGAATGCTTGTTTGAGTTAGGCTAACATTTTAAGTGGACTGACCTGACGGTGATTTTCTGGAGTTTTCCATGTACACTTCTAAGGAACAAAGATTTGGTATACTCTAGCCCTGGCTCCCAGTCCTCCCAGACCAGCTCAGCACAGGTCTCCACCCCAAAGAAGCAGTTTTGGGTTCTCTTCTGAAGGCCCCTTGACCTGAGGCTTGAGACCCTCTGAAAACAAAGTAGGCACATCATAATGTCTACTGTATTTTTACACCAGCAGAGGGCATTGCATTTCAGCAAAGCAGACTAATAGCAAAAAGCCAATGCAAAATCATTCAATTTCAAACAATTGCAGAAGAAATGGAATATCTGCAGTAAAACAAAAACTAAGAAGATAGAATGAATAAGAAATAGGAGCTACCTGTCAAGTTGTAAAGGTAGTTTTTATTGTGGAAAATTACAATGGTTTTATGCGTACATGTGTTGTTTTTATTATAATTGTTTCACACAGTCTAAAATGTTCCATTGTAATCTGTAACCCAATTAGTGTGACAACCTGCTATAGACTATAGAGTGTGACATCTTTTTTTTCTGCACAAATAAAGTGGACTTTTATGACTTTCAAAATACCTTGTCCATCTTACCTTTCTATGTGGGTTGTGTGCGCCTCCAAAGGGAATGCCTGGGTTCAGAGGATTCACTGGATTATCCGTCAACATTGCAACTAAAACAAACCAACAGAGGTCAATGGTGCTGTATTTGTGGGATTAAACTATTTCATACAGGTTTTGTACTGTATCAAATTAGATTAATCAGACATGGCTGTAGTACTTGGAAGATTTGGGACTTTATCAGAGAGATTAACCTTAATTTCTTGACTGATATTATGAACAGTCTATGCTGCATTAGGCAATATTGGTATTACTTTAAACAGCTGCATACTAAAGTGATAGATTTACATTTATTGCAAAAGCAGGATCTGTTATGCCTGTCTGACTCTGAGGTTAACCGAGGCTGGTGTAAATGTATGACCTTGTGTCACTCAATTCTTTACCTCTCTATTAGCTTAAGTGATTTGTTTTATGAAAATCAGAGACAGCAAATGTGACTGACCCAGAGGATATTGTTAGTATTGATAAAGATAAGTGGGTTTCGTGTTTTAGTATAAAATTACTAGCATCTTTTATTTTAAAACATGACAATGTATTAAAATGGCATAAATTCTATAATTCTGTTAAAATCCATCATAAAATCGATTGCTTGACAATAAAAACAACTTATATGTTACGAGTAAGTTAGCCTAATATTTTAGCCTACGTTTGTTCCTTCTACTATCGCAAAACTCGCGTTATTTTACATTTTGTAGCCTACTAAAATATAACTTACCACAGTAGATTTATTTAAAGCAGTTATATGTCAAACAAGACGCCAAAACGTAACAGAAATGTGTCTATTTATTTGTTTCGCCATGCTGAAACTTTTACTCCCAGTTCAGTTGTGTTCGAGCTCCATGACAACGACGACGGAAACAGTTAAGGGACATTTACATACAGAGAGACGTTTTCTCTCTCTCTCTCTCTCTTCTCAAAGACTTCAGTAGGCTCAGTAGGCTCAGGTGGGATCGTTCAGGTGCAATTGTCCAAATCCGTGATAAATGTTCACAGTTTGCCACTTTGAGTGCTCGAGTTTCCTTTGGTTTGGCAGGGTATTTATTCCCGTCACTGCAATGCATTTAATCAACATATAAATATGTCTAATTCTAGCTTGACTGCACCTTCTGCTTTAATATTTAATTGTTGGCCTAACACCACACCCCTGTAAAAATGCTCTTTTGGTCATTGAGGTAATTCATCTTTTCAAATTAAATGGCCCGGTGACATCAGCATAAGGAGTAGATTATTTTACTTTTCCTTCATTAACTTAATTATTTGCCTATCAGTAAACCCCCCTGAGTAATTCATATTTGAGAGGCTGTGGTCATAAATATCAGGGCCCTAGTTGTTTATAATGCACTGTAGATTCATCTGCGCTTTAATCACCATCTCTGTCAGCTAGAGGTTAAAAGGGAGAGGAGAGTGGGGCGATGAATATAGGATGCGGGTAATATTCATTTAGTTTTAAACCTTTTCGCTCATGTGCCAGATGCATAAACATAGCCTATACATTTATCTTTGTATACACTGCAGCATTTTCACATCCTCAAAGAACAAAAAGGATTCAATGACAGCAATTGAGAAAATGCCTGAAACTCATCTTCAATTTTGTTTATTTCCCTTTGTCTCCAAGTACATATTTTACCAGCAATCTTTGAAGGTCACACAATCCTTCAAACGGAGTCCTGATATCACGTTGAATAAATTAGATATAATAATCTATAACAGTTAAATAACATTAAAGACACCAACAGCAACAACATGACATAAACTAATGGACTAGCTAATGAACCGTTCACAGTTTGCCCTTGTTCAATATTTGCTGAGGATTTAGCAGTTCCTCTGTTTCTTAGTCAATGGTTACTGGAAGAAAGCTGACACTGATGACCTCTAAACAATCTTCTGTTCCTCATCATCCACTCAAACAAAATGTGTTTAAGAGACCAATCCAGCCTGTGACTTTCAGTGGAAAGGCCTCCTCATTTGGTTCAACAGCTGCTTTTTTTTTTTTTTTTTTTTTTTTGTTGTTGTTGTTGTTGTTGTTTTTTTCAACCAAAATGTCCATATTAACATACATAGTAAAGAGTTTGATCAAGTTAGTTTGAAATAGTGTAGAGTTGCAGTTTACAAGCAGCCTTCAAGAAAAAAATATTAAGTGCAAATAAACTGGAAGACCATTTTCATGAATTATTTAAGACTTTTCGACTATAAACGTCATTGAATTTAATTTTGACATCAACAACTTTCAGTCTTGAGGTGTTGTATTTTAAACCTTCATGTAGTTAGCAGTCCAATTCATGAATGGACATGCAGATTATACAGCTGCCATTAATCCCTCATAACCCCAGCCGGATTTTTCGGTCTCCTCCGATCTCATCCAGGTCGTCATCAGAGTAAGAGCCATGAGAGCTGTAGCTCAGCGCAGAGCTGTGCTGCAGGAAGTCCGAAGGGTGAGGTAGACTCACACCGACGTTAATGGATTTTCTGAACTCTTCTTCTTCTTCTTCATCTTCCTCCTCTGCATCCAGATCCTCATCGTCATCGTGTGCACTGCAGCGACTGAGGTCTTTAGGCTTGTTTCCTCGTTTTCCTGACTTACAGCCATCTGTTTCCTGCTGCGCAGCCTGCTCTTTAGCTTTACGGCTGCGCTTCCACTTCATCCGTCGGTTCTGGAACCAAATTTTCACCTGGAAAATACATAACAAACATCAAAATCATTTGCATAAAAGTTGATCCATTGGTATTAGCTTTTGGAAATATTCAAGAGCTTTTTATTTGAATGATTATCAAAATTATTTAGTTGTTTCTTTCTCCGCAATATGTTTTTTTTCACCTTATCCCTTCTTTCTTTCACCTTATCCCTTCTTTCTCACAACCTGATTTCATGAGAAAGTGTAACTTACAAGGTGGTGATTCGTACAGTGTGATTTGTATGGAAATGCATGATTTTTCTTTTTAAAAAAGCATGCGGTCCAACCCTTAAACCTAACCGGGCATGTTGTACGAAACATATGATATTCAAATTCAAACCAATTTGCTACCATTTCGATAAAACTTAAAATAGTTATTTAGTTAAAATAATATAATAGTTTTTTTTTTCCATAAATGATACACAATGTAAAAGAATATTGTTGGTTTAACTTAAAAAAGTACCTGGTTGCCTTAAAACTTTAAGTTCATTGAAATTAAAAAAAGTGAGTTAATACAATGAAGGAAATTGATTTATAATCAGAACTCAAAATGTTATGTTCTCTGAACTAAATAAATTAAGTTGATTTGAAAAAAGAAAAAATGTTGTGATTCCTAATCATCAAAATATTTGTTATATATTTTTTTATATTTTTATATATATATATATATATATATATATATATATATATATATTTTTTTTTTTTTTTTTTTTACAGTGCACGATTCAACAATTTTTTCAAAGTCAGTTCAATGTAATTAATGTTGAAATTACAAAATTTAAGGCAGCACTTTTCAGTGTGAGAGTGTGTTGCTTTTTCCTCACTTGTGCAGTCAGCATGAGGGACTGGCCACAAATCCCTTATTTCTCCCAATCCAATTTCATTAGACAACTATTTTACGAAGTACCGATTTCATATGAATCCGTACAATGTGATTTGTAAGAAACATATGCTTTTTTAGAAAGAAAAGGTCTACCCCTAAACCAAACCAGCAGTGGGGTGTAAGCAGATTGAGATTGTACGATTTCATATAAAGCTATCAATTCACATAAAATTGTTATGAATTGACATGCGAGTGTGTTGCTTTCTCACCTGTGTTTCAGTCAACATGAGAGACGTGGCCACCTCAAAGCGTTTGGGTCGTGATAGGTACTTGTTGAGTTTGAACTGGTTTTCCAGCTCTAGCAGTTGCTGGCTGGTGAAAGCTGTGCGTGGTCTCCGGCACTTTCCAATCAAACCAGACTGAGGTGCCCCTGAAAAGAGAGTGTTTATAAAAAAGGTGTAACTAAGACTTGTGCCAAAAAATCAAAGACATATGGATAAGACACCGAGCAGACGCAGCAAACAACATATTCACCTCTTACTCCCCCCTAATAGATAATGATAACAGCTTTACTTCAGTTTATTGTTGATGACAGGGCTGGGAGATATTGCTTTAGCGGGACAATAAAACACCAGAGAGCACCATTAACTTAATGAAAATTCAATAAATGCTACCAGATAACTTTATTGATGAAGCTCAGGCTGTTTTAAGTGTTTCTTTATAGTTTTCGTTTCGATGAAGGCTGTTTTAATGGAGTTGTCATTTATGATCCTATGAAAAGACTGAAAATAAAAACAAGCTTACATTATAGTTCCGTTAGCAGTAAATACTGATTCAATTATGCTAGAGAATATTTATGGCATGAGAGTGCACTTTTTGCAGAGAGAACATGAATATTTTTTGGATATATATATATAAAGGTTTATAAGTATTTGTAATATTATTTAGCCTACTATGAAAAAAGAAAACTTGTAGCAAACTTGCAACAAAAAAATGTTTTAAAATTGCATAGCTATACATTATAGTGTCACCATTTAGACATTTCCAGTGGCTCGACAATACTTTTTTTTCTAAAGTCTATATAGAAAGACACACATACCGCTGTAGTCTGCAAGGCGAGGCATTATGAGTCCTGCCCGGAGCCAGTGTTCTAACGGGAATGAGCCGGCCGCGGCTGCTGCTTTCAGGTGCTCCGGGTACGGATGCGCAAAACCAGAATACGCGAAGGTGGGATGTTGCGCTCCAAAAGCAGTGATGGAGTACATAGGTGAGGGATACATTCCTTGCATAGACCCTTGAGAAAGTGATGTAAATCCTGGGTGAGAAACGTTTAGCATGCCTGGTTTGGGGATGACCCCTGTCTGAAGCTGGAAAGCGCGGGTAGGAGAGTTTTGTGTCCGTTTGCATGTTGCGGGCTCGATGTCAATGTCTTCATTGCACAGTCCCGGGGAATCCTCGCGAACTATCCGATGAGAGCTCTCCGACAACAGAGCGTCTATTCGAAAGTTCTTCGACTTATCCATGGAGCCGAACTTTAAGTATACGCGGTAGGTGCTAAAATATGAGTTTAAAAGTTCCCTTTTTACCTTCACACTAGGCCTGCATTTACAATTAACTTATACTTTGACCGTCGGTAATATTATCTAATTCTTTAAGACAGTTATGGATATTTTGTTACAATGACTGAGTGTTTTCATCTCTACACCCGTGACGCAACGCTATTGCCTGGAGCGCGAGCAGGCATCAGTTTTTGACTGTCTCGCGCTCCTGCACGCTCCTCCTAAACACTCCCTGATTGGTTCATTTGGATAGGCTACCCTTGTAGTTGAGAATCTTCCAAAACATTCTAATTAATTCACTACACAGGAATTTATTTCAACATCAAGCCATACAATTCACATCTCTTAAGTATCGGTCGATGGATAAAATATAGGCCTACAAATTGGCCACACAAAACATTTGTTCACAACAATTGGCTTTATAAAAATTATTTGTGTCTACCGAATTATTTGCAATCGGCTAGGCCATATGTAACGGACAATATTAATAAAACAGCAACGTTAAAAACAACAATACTAAGCGATAGGCTAATCAAATGTGTAGCCTACAGAAAAAAAGGATTTTTACAGCATGTCAGCAATCAAGATATCTCACAAATAACTACAAAGCTATTCATTCACATTATCGATATGATTTCGAGGGGGTTTTTATTTCACTGTAGGCTATAAAGATTGGGTTTACACGGCATGTTATGACATTTTTTAAACGTGATTTTCCTCATCAGTAGGCCTATAGCCTAATTAAATTCTTGCCTATAGACCTGGAAAAAAATGTTTAAGATTTAGGTGCAAGTATGGCTTAAGCCTTATTGAATATCAGTAGGCTAATACCAATTATTAATTAAAATGGCAACTTTAGAAATATTTCAAATAGGCCTATAACCATTTAAAAAAGAATCGAAAGAATAGAATCGAAACCTAAAGTGTTTTTTAGTGCAAATTATAAAGAGATGAATGTTAAATGACGTGCACAAATCTTGTAATCTGAAATATATTGGTTCTGAATAGCCAGTCATTTATCTGATAAAGACTGGATATGCTCTTGTTATGTCACAGATGGCAATTCAAATTTGACTAAAGTAGCTTATTTAGAGCATTGAAGAGTATAGTCAGAGGATAAATTAAACATAAATTCCACTCTTACTGTTTTTTTGTTTTTGTTTTGTTTTTTCCTGAATAGTGTATTAAATAGCCTACTTAAAGGTTCAAATACATTGCTAACTCACACAAATTTTGTCAAAGGGACAATGGCGAACATGTTGACCTTTTCCACTCTGCGGGCTCGCAGGTGCAATGCCGCCTTACTTTTCTCACACATAGCAGTGCGGTGTGTTTGCATGACCACCCGCTCACCCCTATTTCTTCTTATCGGGTGCAAACATATACTAGGCCTAATGCACAAATAAATCGACAAGCATGACACGCAAACGTTCATGCTGCAGTTGTGATGTTCTGACATTATTTGCCTTGAATTTGCTGCTTGTTTTTCCAGTAGCCTAACCGTCGAAACAACTGAGCTGAGACTGGAGATAGCCTAATAACGATCTGACGGAAGCGTGCCAACACGGAAGAAAGGAGTAGGCTACTGTACGTTGTTTGAAAGAAAGAAAAAAATGATTCAAAAACGAGAAACATGCCGATATTATTCAGTTGCTCAATGTCGTGGCTTTCACACCTGGAGACTGCTGTTTTAAGTCGTCTAAACAATTTAATTCCCAGCTATTTGTTTTTCAAATCGTTTTTCTCATGGGAAGTCTGGTCATGCTCTCAGCACTGTCAGTGAGTTCCCAGACAAGACCTTGAGGTTATAATTAATCTTAGTTCATTAGGAAGATAAAGGTCAATTATTAGGCTTCTACTTGTCAATCGTTAACAGTGGTGGAGTTTACACAGCAGAACAGATAATACAAATATCTGCCTTTATTTTCTTTCATTTCTGGAAGAAAAAATAAATGGCATATAGACCTGTTAAGAAGTTTCCAACAGCTCAAACGTGCTATTTGATGGAGAAAAAAAAAGAAAGAAAGAAAGAAAGAAAGAAAGAAAGAAAGAAAGAAAGAAAGAAAGAAAAAAACCTTGCAATTGTGTCAATCCCCACTTTTAAGCACTGCAAATAATAGTGGCTTTTTAATTGTCTCAGTGGCAGTGGCTTTTCATTCAATCAGAAATAAAAAATAATTAGATGATGATTTTAACATTGTTTTATTTTTTTCAGACTGAAATCTACTCTCTCCATCATAAATCAAATTAAAAATAAAAAATAAAATTATTTTAAGGCACTGTATCGAATTAGTTATCAAATATAATTGTATTAATCAGTAGATTATAAATTTTATACAAGTATACAATTAATACAACTTTTTTTAATGCAGTGTTGTGTTAAAAGGACAGGGACCACACAGGCCTTAACCTTTGCAAACAATAAAATACAATATGTATCACATTAGCCTATATCTTTGAGATTGGGTATAGGGCAGCTGTGAAAATGAAACTAAAAGAAGATAAATTAGAATTATTCAATTGAAAATAATTTGTTACAAAAAAAGGTATATAATATCGATAAATAAATTAATGTAGTAAATTAGGTGCCTCCCAAATGTCCGTGCAAATAACTAAATAGACACAAAAGAAGCCAGAACCACACTGTACAAATTGTATGATCAATAAATTATGACAACATATGTTTTTACTTTGCTTTAACTAAAAAAAATCAAAATAAGTTGCATAACAATTAAGTATACTAATTTCTTGTTTAATCTTATTTAAGCTGAAAGGACTTACACATCCAAGTTGAACTGAGTGAAATACATCTAAATTAATGAAATGTTTCATAGCACAAAGGAAAAGTGGTTATTGCTATAAAAAGCAATTTACTGTACAAATGTGAGGACTGAATACAAGTCAATATTTTACTTGTTTTATGAGATTAAGATATTTGATTTTAATACATTTGTATACTCTGAAATTTGAAGAGTGAGTAAAATGGTAACACCTTTTTCAAAGAGAGATCTACAAAAAATGTCCTCTTCCTAAAAAAGGAGACCACAGATGCCTAACAAGCCTGCCAAAAGTGCAACCACTCAGCATTCTGGCTGTCCAGAAGGGAGCCAACACTTGTATTCAAGAGACTGTAAAAGAGTCACTGAATAGACAGCTATTCATACACAAATGCAACATGGGCTGCCCTTTTCGGAACTGTCTGACCTCTTGCTCTAGGTCAGATGTAAAAAAATAGCAATGTGCTATGCTTGTGTAGGATTCAGTGACAGCTTTAAAGCTAATGTGATGTCTAATTTCAAATTCCAGCCTTCCTACTCAGCGAATTTAAGTCTTTGTCCAGACCTACCAAAAGTTAAAATTGCATGCTGGATTCCACTGAATTGTTGCATCTTATTTTAATTTCCATTCAGAACCATCCCATTGTGGCACTCTTGTGTCCTTGTGATTGACCAGAGGGAATTGAAAACTTCCTCAGTAACCAGGGCTGGGCGGTGCAGGTTAACCAGTTCAGGCCTGCGTTGAATCGTTTGATTAATGACAACTATGTTGCAGAGACATCAAGACAATGGCTGAGGCAAGAGGGGTGTGTTTCTGGATAATTACTGGTAAAACCTACCGTTGTTGAGTTAAAGCATAACAGAAAGTTCAACACACACGTGCACGTACTACACAGAGAGGATGACTGGTATGGATAATTAGTCCCGCAGAGCTGCTACAAACATCTGTTGCTCCGGAAAAAATGGTGGCAACATCAGGAGCTGGTGCTGGTGGTGCATCGTGGGTGGTTCTTTTGCTGAGATAAAAAAAAAAAAAAAAAAAAAAAAAAAAAAACCACTAAAACATATAATTCTCTGTTACCAGTTGAGATATTTAAAAAAAATTATGCTATAGTAATTCTAAAATTATTAATTTTACAAACAAGTAAATAAATAAATAAATGAATGTGCAATACCAGAAATGGAATTACATTTTATAGTAAAAAAAAAAAATAATAATAATAAAAAAAATGCAATACCAATAATGGTATTATTTATTTATTTATTTATTTTAATGAAATGTATATTGTCATAATTGCTATTGCATTTATTTATTTATTTATTTTAATGAAATGTACTGTATAAAGTGCAACATATATTATGACATTATAAATAAATTAATTAATAAAAGAGCAATACCAATTATGGCAATATGCATTTCATTAAAAAAAAAAAATACCTACAATAAGTAAAAGTGCAGTACAAACATGACATTACACATTTCATATAAATAAATGTGCAATACCAAACATGGCATTATAAATTTCATATAAATAAATGAATGCGCAATACCAATAATGGTATTATACATTTCATATAAATAAATAAATCGAATGCTATACCAATCATGATCACTCTAAAAAAATTATAAGATCAGTAAAACATGGCAAACTACACTATATTGCTAAAAGTATAGGGACACCCCTCCAAATCGCTGGTTTATATGCCAAGTCTTCGCTGGTTCAGCTCCAGCTTGCGGTCCCCAAGTCGGGGGGACAGGTCCTTTTCTGTGGTTGGACCTAAACTCTGGAACAAAATCACGCTCATTTCGTGTCTTAGGCCATCAATGTATACTTACATTTATGAGTCATTAAATCATGTTTAATTTGGACTTCTCTGTGCATGCTCTTTAAGGTGGACCCCATATCCCTGCATTATATGACTGACAGACAAGAACGGTTTGACCTAAAATATCAAAATGGAAAATACTGTGGAAAAAAAGACATCTACATCTTGGATGCCCTTGAGGTAAGCTAAAACATATCAAAAATTAATTTGAAAGTGAACTATGCCTTTAAATGTATTCATATAATCAAATTAGCTGTGGAAGTCATTTCAACTATAAGGGGCTATTTAAATGACATGGTTTTCAACTATTCACAATTTCAAAGTGAATTATCACTTCAAAGCAGCAACTAAACTTATGTTTATAAGTGACAATATGTGGATTTATTTTTATTTGAATGAAACATCTAATGAAATGTATTTAAATTTAATTAAAAAAAGAATAGTAAATAAATAAACGAAATACATGCAATGCAATCTCTTCCAGACATAAAAAATATTAAAACAGTTTAATCAGTACATTTCTTTGGGGTCATTTCTGCTC